ACCTGCTCCGAATTTTGTTTTTGGGTTTTTTTTTTCAGCATTTTGTGTTTCGACTTTGCTTCTGTTGCTTCATATCCTCCATTAAATCTGGAAGTGACAACCTCAGCTTCCATCTCTGCATTTGGGTCCTCTAGAAACCTCTGCACAACCAATTACTCTGCATTGATAAGTTTTTCATTTGAACTTTTTATGAATTATTTCATCAAACAATCTTTGATAATCATCAAGTTATTCATTTTTATTAACTTTTCATTATTATTTACCATTATACCACAGCAATGTATTTTCTTCTTCTTCTTTTCATGTACACTGACTTGAATTGCCTCACTACTAAAATATGCTAAACCAATAAACTTCCCTTCTCTTATTTTTTCTAAAGGGGAAAAATAGTTGATTTGCAAACAGAAAACAAAGAAGTTTAAACAACTGAATAACAACAAATTAATTTACATATACCAGTGAATTCTTCATGCATAACTTGAATATCAAGAAAAACACACTGCAGATTTTGAGTTTTTGGATCGCAGCAGTGTTAAAAGTAGCCTTATGTTACTCATGTAGAGAGAAGCCATTTATAACATAGTAATATAACAACACATTTTACCACTGATTACTGATGGGTAATTTCTATTCAATGGAAAAAGAGCACCTTCTTATTCATCAGTGCTGCAGTTCTTTTAAGACATTAGTTCCAGGTTTAAGACACAGATGTTGCCTCTTGATCATATGTATATATAAACAAGTGCAAACTGAGTTCATTTCAATTCCTCTTCCCCTCAATCATTCCAAGATTTTTTCCCCTAGTGAAGAAAGTGTCCAAACAAAATTGCATAAGGCACAATATGTAAAGATGAATTTACATGTGGCTGAAATGTATACATTATACAAATACTCACCTGACTCTGCCACCTCAGCTATAGGAATGCCTTGTTTGTGAGCCATGAATCCCAGCACAGAGAACACTGCAAACCCAGCTACGACACTCGTACCACTGTTAAGGCAACAAAGCCACAGGCAGTCCCTATAAAAAGAGACAATGCTGTAAATACATTTTATATGATGCATGTCTGATAAACACAAACCAACTGCTGTACCTGTAGCAGTTGTTATTTTGTTTATTGTAGCTGCCTAGCACAATTAGAGAGCCCACACCGATACTGTAGGAGAAGAAGATCTGTGCCCCGGCCTCCATCCACACCTGTTCCAACAACAGCATTAGTGGCGTCATTCATTTAACACCTCTTTCATCTGTGATATCCTACCTGAGGGTCAGTTAATCGTGTTGGATCAGGCAGAAGATAAAAAAGAACTCCTTCAAGAGCGCCAGGAAGACATAGTCCTCGAATTAGAAGGATCAACAACATGACGTAGGGAAAGGTGGCAGTGAAGTACACCACCTGGTGAAAACATAAGGTCAGAATAAAAGAAAAAACCACCTTTGAAGAGGATTCTTTTTTTTTCTTTGATATCATCTATTGTAATCATGCTTTTTATGTATTTGTTTTATGACAATTGAAAACCTTTGAAAAAAAATTATGCTGAATACGTATTTTCCTTAAATTCAATGAAATGTTACACATCAATTTATTGATGTCATTTCTGGGACATTTTTCTATATGCTTTTTCATTTAGACTTGGCCATACATTATTAATCTGTTGAAAGACTCCCTGATGACTTTTTTTCCGGCGCAGGATTCAGTTCTTAAACCTATGTTCATTTAAATCTCCTGTAAATGTTTATGATAGCTCACACTTAAACAAGGTTCTCATAGGCTTTGGAAAACAAACCCTCCTCAAGCAACTCAGATCCTCCACTATACTTAACAATATGCATGACATCCTTCCCCATGTTTGCACCCTTTGTATTGCACTAAACCCAACCGTAGTAAGGCAAGAAAAGGCAATGCAAATTTATTTGTATAGCACAATCCAGTACAAAGACAATGCAAAGTGCATTAC